ATGCTAAATGTTTAGCTATCAGCTTTATTTTTTTTTATAGCCTCAGTATGAGAATTTGTTCAAGGAAATGGATTCTTTTTAAGTCAGGAATATAAAATAGAAGAATCTTGAACTAAATTTTTATAAAAGTTTGTTAAATAATTTAGACTTCCTAAAATTTTTTTGTAATTGCTTTTTATCTTTAATTTCCTCAGAAAATTTAGAAGCAAATTCAATACTTCTTTCAATCGGGACTATACTCCCTTGTTCAATATAACGTCCCAAAAATCTGACTTTTGATTGGAATAATTTCATTTTAATAGCAGAAAGGACTAATCCATTTTTCTTCACTACTTGAATGAATTTATTTAAATGTTTAAAATGTTGATCAATTGAATCAAAAAAGATTAGTATATCATCTATATAAACAATGCAGAATGTATAATAAGGATTGAATATATCATTCATAATATTATGAAATTTTTATGAGGTATTTTTAAGCCCAAATGGCATAACATTCCATCCATAATGTCCAAAAGGTAGAGTAAAAGCAGTTTTATACCTATCTTCCTCAGCAATTTGGACCTGCCAATATCCTAATTTTAAATCAAATTTGGAAAAGATCTTAGCACAATATAATCGAGATAATAAATTCTTTTTATTTGAAATGGGATATCTAATCCACTGTAATATCTTATTTAAAGGTTTATAATTAATTATTAGTCTAGGAACTCCTCGCTCCTTTTTTGTAGCATTATTAACATAAAAAGCTGCATAATTTCATGATGAATAGCTCTTTCGAATTAATAATTTTTTCATTAACGAATCAATTTTTTTTTTACAAAGTTCTAGATATTTTTTATTCATTTGTGTTGGCGTTGCCTTAGTGAGAATATCCTTTTCATTAAATTCCTTAATATAAGGAAGAGGAGGCAACATGCTTTTTCCTATCCCAAAAAGTAGTAAGAATATATCACATATTTTTGTAGTTATTTTATTTTCAATTTCTTTTAATTTAATTTTAAATTTAAGTTTATTAGATATACTTAAGACCTTTATGTCTTCTTTCAAGAAATTTAATTGATTCTCTTTATGAATCAAAATTTTCTTTTATTTGATTTATTATTTTTATTTGTGGTGGAGTTATAAACTCAAATAATATCTGTTGTTCATTTAAAGTAGTTAAAATTTCTTTAGAATCAATTTTTTCATTGGGTTCGATCATAAATAAAAATGGTGTTTCCAAAATTACTAATTGATTTAAATTTGCTATAAGCATAAAAGTAGTAGGAATGCAAATTCCTTAATTACAGATGTAAACATTCAAAAGTTTAAAGTTTAAATTTAATTTTAAACCATCAGCCGTACTTAATGACTGAATTGTTTTTTCAAAATATTTAGTAAGAATAAATCATTCTTTAATGCAGTTTATATATGCTCCACTGTCAATCAAAGCAATCGTTTTGACAGTAAATTCTGGATTTATGATTAGTATGATCTTAACATACCATTTTTGATAAGTTATTTTTTCTAATACATTTAAATATTCACATTTTTATTGTTTCTTCTTCATTTTTAATTGACATTTTTTCAAGTGCCAAAAGTCTTTGTTTTATTATTTTTATAAGGGATTTTAAATCCACCATGTCTTTGCTTTAATCGAATTATTATTTTTTCAGCAAATAAGCTGGGTAAACTTGATATAAATTTTTCTTTCCAAAACTCATTGTTAGTATCTGTTCTTAATAAAATTTTTGCAAAAAAGACGTCTTTATAAGCATCTTCTTGGGTGGTTGTACTCTCATCTTCTGTTGTTTATTATTTTTACTGCATTTAAAATTTCATGTTTTTGAATTAAACTTAAATAGTTATCTCATCAGCTTCTTAATTGGCCAGTAAATCCTAAAGTTATAAATTTAGCAGTAGTATGGTCTGAATTACGATTAGCTTTACATATATAAGCTTTAAAATTTTATGTAAAACTTGATGAATTGGATATTCTAACATACCATCAATATTTCACTCATAAAAGAAGAGGCACCATAACTGGTTTGATCAATAAGATTTTTTTCCTCACATAAAATATCTTGAGGGGTTGATTTATGATAATAAGCCCTCATAGGGGGTGCTTGTGTATATGTATTATTTTGCTTTTTAAGTTTAAAATACCCAATTTTAGTTATTTCTTCAGACTGCATTTGGTGTAAAGAATCTTCAAATTGTTGTATTTTAGTTTCAAATTGCTCTACACTTTCTGTCTGAGAAATTACATTTAATGACAAATATTGTAATTTCTTTTTAAGTTTATTTATGAACTTATCTTCAATTTTATTATGAAGATTAAATATTGAAGTATCTATAGGAAGCTTAATGTTTACTTTTTCAATTTCAACTGGTTTGTTTCTTAAAGATTGAGAAGACAAAGTTACTTGTATTTGTTCTCTTATTAAATTCTCAATTTTACTCAAGTGTTGTCCTACCACTTGTAGACAAACATTGGTGCAATTATTTTGTTTGATAGAGATATTAATAACAAGCATTCATAATAATGTCTCCTAACTCATTTGAAGTGGAGGCTATCTTTACGATTTCATTTGTATGAGGATAAAAACTATTTATACTTTTACCATCAATGTTTTCCCATTTATGCTGAAATTGTTCAATTACATTTAATTGATATATGGTAGGTGGAGCATAATAGGCTAAAAACCATTTAACAAAACAAATTACCCTTTTTTCTCTTTCTATATAAAGGTAAAATATTTTTTTATATCTTTTAAGATCTTCTTGGTTCATAGTTTTAAAATACCAAGTTCTAAATTCCTCATATTTATCAAGATAAAATTCTTCATTAATTTTTTTTTATTTATTATAAATTCTTTTGGGTTTATATCCATAAAATTTATAATTGAAATCCGATTTCGGATGGGATTGGATTGTTGTAAGGAATCTCCATTTTGATTAAAGGGAATTGGTCTTTGTAATGTTGTAATTGTTAAGCTTGATTTAAAATTAAAAGTTCCAATATTATATATCTTCTTAGTTGGGTACTGGGGTATATCCCAGTTCTGTAATTTATTTTCAATATCTGAAAATTTAATTTTTTTCCTTATTTTTAACATAATCATCTTTATGTTTATTACTGAATTTAAATAGGCTTAATGTCATATTTGTTTTGCACAAAATTTTTCTATAGACTTATATGCTTCAATATTACCTTTATGCTACTATAGTAATTTGTCTTTTATTTCTGATACAGTAATGCTATAATGATTGTTGCTATAATCATTCTGTTGTAGTGATCTTCTTCCTTTTTCCTACTCTTGTTGTCAACGATTTACAGNTACAGTAATGCTATAATGATTGTTGCTATAATCATTCTGTTGTAGTGATCTTCTTCCTTTTTCCTACTCTTGTTGTCAACGATTTACAGAGAACACAAATGGTCTCACTCCTATCTTCCAAACACGGTGTAACATCTCACACGTGACTTGGGTGTAGAACCATAGGAACAAAAGAAAACCATTATAACATAATTAATATAACAAATTCAATATAACATTAGTCTAACAAAAATAAATCATAATTATCTAAGCAACAAGAATTAGTAACAGATTTGCATATAAATTAACAGAATAAATTTAAGCTGTCATTACTTGGCTCTGATTCCAATACAGTAAGGATCGATGCAAATATCAGAGAAAGCTTTTATTTAAAACAAAAGTTTGTACAAGACTTACAGATGGGATGGAAAAAACTAAAGAAGAAGGCTATAATTACAAGAGAGAATGGGTTCAAAGAGGGTGCAGGAAGGAGATAAGAGCGGGAAGTAGGTGCAATACGAGAGAGATGTGTCCAATAGAGTCCAAACATGAAATCTGAATTTCAACAAAACCTAAACTATTCACAACTTTAATAATTTACATTGACGTCATTTAGTACGTTATTTTTTCTGTTTGTGACATCATTGCTTACGTCACTTGTTACAATAATTTGCTAGTGATGTTATGACGTGCGCCAATCCTTAAGATTCCTCATTTCCCATGTCTTTAAGACATTTTTCGATTACTCGACATTTAGTGTCAACTAGATAATTATTTCAGAATCGGACATGTTATTTCCTGATTAATCTAGTATATCCGTTTTGATTAAAGTCACAGGCTAAAGTCTACACCCAAATCCATGGAACAAAGAATTTGAGTGCGAATTTAATAATGGGCTTAGCTCAATATTATTATTTTTTAAGAATGAACTTTTGTCTTTATACAAGTCTAATTAAATTTTTATTTTTTCGAGATATATCCCTTCAATAGCACCATGAATTTTCCACCAATTATAAAATCAGTTAGGAAGTTCTGTATAGGTTTCAGTGAATTGGAAGAACCATGAGTGTCCCAAATTTATACAGTTATATAAGAAAACATTATACCAAACATCAATATAATCAAAATAATTATATTTCGTATATGAAGATTTTGTTAACGTTCTGGGAATAGTTAAATTAAGATCTCAGTCTTTAGCAGATATTACTCTTAAAATAAGTATTTTACTGTATTACGGATCTTTTGTGTCATTTATTATTAAAAAATTAAAAATATCAAGTCATTACATAATAGTAAAAATATAAAATATATATTTATATACATATCCTAATCATACTCATATCCTATTTTTTAGAGTTTTATTATATCGCTATCGTATTGTATTAGTATCTCATATCTATATTCATGCTTCCTAAGTTTTAGGTCACCAAAACAGGTTTAATTCATTAAATACTTAAACTATTCAATTTTAAGCATTAAGCAACGTTATTAAATTGCATTTAAGCCAAACGTGGCATCAATTTGACAGAATCGCTTGGAAGATTTCCACAATTTATGAGAAATAAGAGGGAGCACAATATAATTTCGCTGGTTCATAATATTCAAAAGCTTCATCCATTCGGCAGAGTTCAGCATATTATTAGAACCGTTAAGAGACAATCTAGGGTTTTACATAGCAAAAGAAAAACCCCAGCTACGATGACTGTACTGAGCTCCAAGCAAATCTTACAGAACAAAAGCTCCAATGATCCCAATTCCATTACAAGCCTTACCCTTACCCACAAAGCACTCTCTGACGTATGTTCTATAAACCCTAATTTTTTTTTTCCTTTTTGACTTCGGTTATCTTACAGTTTGGATGTTATAGGTTTCATGTTTCAGCGAGTTCAAGAACTTAGACAAACTTGACTTGGGTTTCAACAATTTGTCTTCGCTTGAGGTGGTTTTTTGTTTTTTTACGTTTAATTTGTGGTGGGTGGTATTTGAATTTGCTTACTTAGGGTTTTAATTTGGTTTTTTTCTTAAATTTTGTGTTAGGATTTGAAGGATTGTGTGAATTTGAAGTGGTTGTCAGTTGTACAGAACAAGCTTCAGAGCTTGAAAGGGATTGAAGGACTGACTAAACTGACTGTTTGTAGTCCAATGCTTTTTTATTTTCTATTAAAGTCTACGTAAACTTTACTGTTGAACTGAAATGTGTTAAGCATTACACCAGAAAAACAGAGAAAATAATTTCTGGGATCGGTACAGTTATACCCTGTTTACAATTTCAATTAATTTGTCACCTTTTTGCGTTTCTATTGTATCTTTTTAATCTGCTTTAATATTGTAAATGCTTTCTTTCTATGGCCTGATCTTTGGGTTCTTTAAAGTTCAGAATTCAATTTACGGGGAACTTAGATGTTAACTAAATTCTTGGAAAAATCATATTTTGACCCCTCAACTATATTTGTATTGATTGGTATTTGTGCTTTTATTTCTCTTTCTTATTCAAATCTATAGAATATGCCATGCCGTAGCAAGTTTTCAAAATAAGTTATTTATCTTATTATTAATCACGTATTTCTTATATAGCTAGAACGACCCTCACACAATATGCACAGAATTATCAAATTCTCTAGATTTCCCTTCAGGAAAGAATGAAATGCATAGGGGACCATCCTTTTGTTGCAGCATGATAGGAACATGTATCACCTTTTTGGTAAATTTTTTTTTCATGATCTAATTAATTTACGAAATCAAAAGGAACAACACAATCAAATATAGGAGGTGACAAGCACGCTGTTAATAATATATGAGTTGCCCTTCATTAGTTCAATACAAACATATGGAAGAGCTGGCCATCAAGAAAAATTGAAATAGAGTCAGCGAATATCCAAGGATTATGGGAATCACTATTGCCAAAACAATCTTATATGATTCCATCTCATTTTAATTTGTAAATGACTGGATGGACAAGTTTTCCTGACTAAGTCAAAGCACTTATATATTATGTTTTATATTTCAAAACTTCTCTTGTTCACTCTGAAATGAAAATAAATCTCTGTAGGGTTTTTATGCTACTTTTTTTCATATTGAAAAGGAAGGCTGTCATTTTGATTACATACTTCTTCCTATGCTATAGAGCAGTAGATCCTATCTTAGAAAACAATGTAGCACAAGGGAAACTAAAAGACAATTACAAACCAATATATTTTATTCTTTAGTGGGACTCTCATAGTTCAGATTTCCGTGATGTTCTCATCCAGTTTCTCCGTTTTTCCTCTTCGTCTTTTCGCTTCTTTAATGGTCCCCACCCATCACAACAGTGGGTTTTAGTGGCGCCTCAAGATCATGAGCTGTATCTTTGGTTGTGCTCTTGTATTATGGGTTTCTTTCTTGAACTTTACATGGAACTGATGAAACTGAGTTCTCCGGGTGTAAATGTTCAATCAATATAGTCATCGAGAAGGATAATCATTTGCAGGTTCTTACTCAAACAAGATGACTTTGATCAATTATAGTAAAATAAGTAAGGTTTTGGTATTTTCTTGTTTTAGGGCATAACTGATTTTTCAGATACAATTGCTATATTAGTTGACATCACCATTAGTGAGACTGACCTCACTGATTATTCAAATTTGCTTGGCTTTGAAGTTCACATTCTTCGAGTTTCCAAAATCAGGTATTAAATGCTGGGAAAAACAAGCTTAGATCAATGGATGAGGTCATGTTACTTGTGAGCTTACGTGCACTTATCTTAAATGGTGAGTTGTTTTTATTTTTTATTTTTGACAAATGTTTATGCTACTAGTTTTAAAATTTTCCTGTGGGAATATAATCTGTTCATGTGCCAACACTGATATTATCTAGCTCCCCTTCTCTTTCTTTTTGCGGCAGATAACAAGATTGTTTCAGTTTGCAAGCTTGACCAAATGAAAGAGTTGAACACTCTTGGTAAGAGATCCCAGTTTTCAATATCTCATATGATGTGTGGATAAAGACACAATGTTCTATAGCATACTAATAAAAAAAATTTTACCAGAGGACTTCCCAATCATTTATAATGTTCATTTTCTGAAATTGTCACTCTATGTTCTATAGAAACTCATATTCAACCACAGCTATACCACCCTACATTATGGCCTATTCTTTTTATGGTGATGTATGTTTTTTGTTTGTTCACGTATCCTATACTTGAGCTGGATAAACCATGACAATTCCGGCTGAAAGAGGATAAACCAATAGCTTCAACCTCCACCAACGATAAGGAGGGCTGAGATCCACTCTGTTAGATCCAAAAGTTCCTCATATACTCGTCCCGGATGGGCATGACTGGGCCTGACTGCCTTGGGAGACTTATCTTGCCGTGAATCCAACCACAACTATCGACGTCAATTGGAACTTATCTCCATGATTCCTCCTCTTTTCTCTCACTTCAAGTGCCATTGTTTATGGGTTTTCATTTGAACATTGTTTGTGGGTTTCTTCTGAACATTGTTCTTGTTCAGATCTGTTTCTTGGATTCTGGGTAGGGACAATGATTTGGGTGTGGATTTCTTTGGATCTTTTGGAAACTGGGTTTGAGTGTTGGGAGTTACTTTGAATCTTCTACGATTTTTTTGAGTTCCTTGTTCAGATCTGTTTCTTCTTCAAGCAATGGATGTGTTGATGGTGGCGCACCGTCTGCAGATTGTACTATGTTGTGCTTTGTTTCCTGGTAAGTAAGATGACAGATAGAGGGGTAGAAGAAAGGGGGAAACAAAGTGACCAAAATATGCAGTTGATTGCAACGGAGAAGGCAAAGTTAGGGCAGAAAACGAAAGGGGGAGTGAGAGGGAGAACAGGGGCAGCAAACTTTGAAGCTCCGTTCTGCCTCCGACTAAGGTGGAGTCGGAGCGGAGTTATATAAATTCAGAGTCTTGAGTTCGGAATCGTGCCCTCCGACGCCGTCAAAGTTGAAGCCCATCCCTACATACAATGTACCTGTTGTTTGATGCAGGAGGATAGTGGCAGATTTATTTAGCTGAGGCACCCCAGGATTTGTCCTTCAACCTTGCATGTCTTGGCCCGCATCATTGTTTCTAACATTGTGGGCTAATACTTCAAGAGTGACTTCAATTCAAGGCAATGACCCTGTTCCCTGGGTGTATATAGGATGATTTTGAAAGTGACAATGCAGACTCTCTTTCCTTGTATTGGTTTCTCTATGTTTTCCTTGAGATTGAAACATGTCGCTCATTGTTTGTGAACTAGCTTCATTAAGTTTTTTACCTTCAAGATGCTATAGGGAGGTGTAATGTTTCTGCAAAAAAATAATAATAAAAAAAAAAATAGTATTTAGCTAATTGTTCAAAGTGGTTCTTTAGTGTAGAGGATTTTAGAACACTCGGCATTACTTGCTGAGTTCAATGTTGAAACTCTGGCATTTGTTTTGTAATGCAAAAGAAACAGTGAAATCAGTATTCTTGTACCAATGGGTTTTTTGTGCAATGGTATTCCTTACCTTGTGAAGGCTTTGCCTTCTTGAGGTCAAGTGTTCAAGCCTCCTTCCCTCTTTCCCCGCCCCAAAAAAAAAATCAATATTCTTGTAGTCATAGTTGTCAAATTGCGATTTGTATCGTGAATCGAAATCTTAAATTTGAGAATTGTGAATCGTACGATTCGACACAATATTTGAACAAAAATAAAAAATAATATTACATATTTAAAATAGGTAAAATTTTAAATATTGAATATTATTGCATTTTAAAAAAATCAATTGACATAATCACGTCGTCTAAATGGAAAGACGCTAGCCTTTTGCTTCATTTTCATCTTTTGTTTAACTATTTTCAAATTCAAAAATTTTAAACAAAAAAAATTCATTCAAGAATCATGGCTATTCAAGAACTAAAATAGTGATGCCTAGTATAAATTATGTTACAAACATGAACGAAAAAACAACAAATAAAAAAATTGATTGAGAGAAAACATACAGACTAACATTTTAAAACAAAAAATTAGAACCTAATAAAATATCCATGAAAAATTAAGAACAAAAACCAACCAATGATTCGAAAGCGTTAGCCGTAACCTTTAGCTTTAGACAATGCAAGACGAGCTTTAGATGACATTAGAGAGAGAACGAACAAAGAAGTTGAGATTTTATTAGGGTGAGGGTTTCTATGACAGCAAAACGACGTCGTTTTACTGTCTATAGGACAAAAAGATGTCGTTTTGCCAAAAAATTGGGTTTTAAAAAAAAAGTGATTGAATCGCGCGATTCGTGAGATACGAATTGAATCGTATGAATCGTTTTGTACCTGTATTGAACCGAATCATACGAATCGAATAGCGAATCGTACGATTTTGATACCTATGCTTGTACTTTTTAGTTTTTGGAGTTCCAGCCTGTGTCTTACCGGAAAGTTCTTGTAGTTCCGCATTACAAGGAGTTTGATATGTTTTGCACAAGGTGATTGGATGGCTTTGCAAGTTCTAATACAGAGATGAAATAAGTTTCCTTTAAATCAAAATTAGAATTTTTGTACTTCCCGACGAAATTGCAGAGGCCGTGAAACGTGTCTCTTCATCAGGTATTCTAGTTTTTCCTCTGTGCTTGCTTCAAACTAATAAGTTTTCCTTAAAGATATGGGGGAAGGGATGCTATGTTGAGAATTAAACAGTAGTGCGATAATTTGTGTTATGTTAGGGCGACTTAGATCATTTTCATTGTTTTGCTGTTAGGTTAGCTTGAAATTTCCTTTTCTTAATCCTCTTAGGTTGAATCTAAACTTTGAATCATTTTACTTGGACTGATAAAAGATCTATTGTCTTCTTTCCTAGTGCTTCGTGAAGGTTGCAAATTTCTTCTTGTCACTATCTGGCATCTTTGACTGCATTTTCCCCTTATAACCTTGCATGAGTGATCTCGATGAAGATCTTATGAATTTGAACATCGATAGGCTTTTGTATAAATCTAAATCGTGCTCATGATTATTATTTGTTATGAATATTTGAGTTAATTCAGAAAATTAATGTCTACTCATTGGCTTTTGGTCTTTCTTTGCAGTTCTTTCCAGGAATGCCATCCGTGAAATTGGTGACTCTCTGGTCAAGCTTAAATCAATCACAAAAGTAAGCAATTCTGTGCTAACTCACTGTATACGGCAGCAACTTTGACTACAATGCAAGGGTTGATAAATTTGTTCTTAATTTCAGCTCTCTCTTTCAAATTGCCAACTTCAAACCATTGGTTCTTCACTCAAGTCCTGCATTGAGTTAAAAGAGCTCCGACTTGGTCACAATAATATCAAGGTGCTTGTTATAATTACTGGAAATGTGATCTTTTGAAATGGTCTCTATGAGAATTTATCCTTTACCTGTCATTTTGCTATTCATTAAGATATACTCTTGTCGCGTTTTAAGCTTCACTTTTCTATAGCAACACTATTCTCAATAATCATCTCTCTCTCTCTCTCTCTCACACACACACACACACACCAACTCAGACTCTCCCAGCCGAGCTGGCTCGCAATACAAATGTCCAGAATTTGGACTTGGGAAATAATTTGATTACAAGCTGGTCAAATCTGAAGGTTAGATATTTTATGGCAGATTCTTTATGATCTCTACTCTTTTTCTGGCCATGTTTGTTTGGAGCAGTCCATATGATGTAATTTTGGCTGCATGATGGAATGCTAGGTGCTGTCTTCATTGATTAACCTTAAAAACCTAAATCTGCAAGGGAACCCTATTGCTGAAAAGGATAAGCTAGCAAAGAAGGTGATGGTGCTTGTCAAATATGTTTCAATTTTTTTTTCCCTTCTATGTCCAAGTCTAGTGTTGCATTTTATGAATGTCATTCTGGAAACAACGTTACTGCAGATCAAAAAACTGGTGCCAAACTTGCAGATATTCAATGCTAGACCTATAGATAAAACTATGGGGATTGAGAAGGGTGAGAGAGTTGACGATTCTTCAGTTAATATTGGTGACAAACTAGTGGTTCAAAACCGGGGGCAAAGAGATCACAACATGGGAAACAAGAACTCGAAACATCGTGGAGATCAAAGGGATGATGGTCATCTTGATAATGCTGGGGATCTGGAAACGAGGAAGGAATTGAAGCTTAGAAAACAAAAGAGACATGAACTATCGCCAGAAAAAGCATCTGTTCACAAGGAGACTAGTAATGACACTGAGAAGGGAGTAAAGAAAAAGCTGAAGAAGATGCAAGAAAATGAATACCATGACATTGATGATGGAGAAACTCCTCACGTGGATCCTGATGTGCAGAAGGAATTAAAGCACAAGAAAAAGAAAAGAGAAGAAATTTTGAAGGAGAAAGCTTCAGATGGTAAGGGGGATGGTACCATCATTGGGAAGGAAAGTAGAATACCAAAGAAGGCAAAACAGAAAGAAGACAGTGTAATTGATGATGTAGAAACTCCATTCGTGGATCTTTTTGCTGCTGATGCCCCTGAAAATGTTGAGAACAGCGCAGAAAAGGGGAGAGGTAACAGAACTGTCCAAGACATCAATATGAATGATGGCAAAGATACCTTCCCGACAAAGAGAAAGAAAACCAAGAACCGGGACAAGGGTACTGATGCTCTTCGGCTGTTGTCAGCCGCTACTGAAATTGGATTGGGTGGGGCTTCAACATGGGATGAGTAACACCTTCTGTGGAGAAGATTATCCTGTCAAAATTCCTGGGTTTTTGGGAAATCATTTTTAAGTTCATCAATCCTTTGAAATTATTGTTTTAAACCCCCCTTTCATCCCAGTTTCTTCATTGGGCTGCTTCACAGTATTACGTCTCCATACTTTGCTGTGTAAGCTTAAGAGAATTTGAGAACCATATAATGGTGGTTATTTTTAGGCATCGAGTGGTTACCAAATGAATGACATGTAGGGGTAATTACTATAATTTGTGAGATCTACTTGTTTGTTATGTTGTTATTAGGTGGTGACACTATGTGACGATAATGACATGGTGTCATAGTTACACTATTTTTTAGGTGGATGGTGAGAGATGTTTAAGGGCGGGGTGGCCTAATGGAATTTATCCTTCAATACACTCTTATCTTTAATTTTTTTAGTGAATGATTTGTCGAGAAAGAAATATGAGAAAAAAAAAATTTATTGAAGGGTGTTCGAGGGTTAATCGGCTGCCTGTGCCATTCAAAAAGGAGGGAGAAAAGTGTGTTTTAAGAGATAATTAAATCAACAAGTACAAGTGTTATCTTGGGATTTTTAGGAAAATTACTTGGGAGTGATTGACTGAAAATCTCAAGTTGTTCTTTGACATCTTTCGATCTTTAAGAGGTGAAACAAAATAAAAACATTGGAACCCAAAAAAAAAAAAGAAAAAGAAAACAATCAAATTATACAGCCATCATCATAAGAACACAAAATAGCTTATTAGAAGCAAAAATGCTAATTATTATTGGGACCCAAAAATGCTAGAATTGGGAGATATAGTTATTAGAATGAACTATCAGAATACGATAACTTTGAAACAAAATTATCATTATTACAACACTTTTAAACTTATTTATTAAAATATGACATTTTTTAAAAAACGAGGTCAACAAACTTCCCGCATTTAAAGAAAAATATGGTCTATAAAAAAAACATTGATTTAAAAGTGTAATTGTTGAAAAGGCCATGCTTTTATTTAAAAACGGGATCAACAATCTTGTTTTTAAAAATTGTCATAGATCAATAAATAATTTTAAAAATATTATAAATTAATAGTTTTATTTCAAAATTATCGTATTGTGATTCTTAATGCATAGTTATTATTGGGGAACAATGGCTTATTGTTGAAAAAGGCATATTTATCCTATTTTCTAGGCAAACAGCAACAATTTATGCCTCCTGTACTTATCATGCAAACCCCCTTGTAAGAAACAAACTGTTTTGCGCAGTCAAAATTGCAGCCTGTTGTCCCATATGTTTCGTTGCAGGGTCCACGGCAAAATATCCTGCCTCCATTGTACTCTGTCATAACAAAATAAGAAATTAGAGACGCCTATATCCATATTATTAATAAAAGGATTAATCGCATATTGTACCTCAAAAAATTTCTCAAATCTTAATTTACAGTTTCAAAGATTAAAAAATTTAATTTACACCCTTAAAGATATAAATCTGTATTAATGTACACCTGAAACTAACAATCGTCTTGTGTCTAAAATTAATTGAATAAATTACACCTAAATCTCCTCACATTTGAAATATTAGACATATATCCCTTAAGAATTCAAATATGATTAAAAGTGTTCCCTCAATCGGACATTCAAATAATTATGTTTAAATGATGTATTATATTGGATATAAAGAATATTATATAATATCAATACTCTTGAATATTATATAATATTTGTATTATATTGGAAATTCAAAGTGTAAGCTCAATTTTGAGCTTTAGAGTATCAATAGACCCATAAAATAAAAGATAATATGAAAATTATAGTTATTTATTATGATGACATTATATTTTTTAATGGTTATATTAATGGATATGACAGAAGGTTATGTGTTATGCATGCACAAATGTCAAAGGATGTAGATATAATATTTTAAATGTGAGAGGATTTAGTGATTAAGTGATAAATTTAAGGGAGTCAAAGTGTAATTTATCTAGTTAATTTTAGATGAAAAACTAACCGTTGTTGTTAGTTTTAGGTTTACATTGATACAGATTCATATTTTTGAGGACATAAATTAAAATATTTGATATTTGAAAATACATATTATGATTAGAGAGATCTCTCGAGGTATAATTAGAGATTAATCCTTAATAAAAAAGAGAAGACTGGGTTTGGTATTTTTTTGCCTGTATTAATAGTTAAGTAATAGTTTATTATTATTAGTTAATCTATTGTTAACTTTTCAAGCAAAATTACCGACTCTTTCATGACTCTATATCTCTCTCTCACATTTTTATTCCGTAAATGCTCGTCACTCTCACATGTTCGTCTCGCTTCTCTATGACAGATGCCCATGAACAGTATGACACAAAAATGCTTCATATATAAGATAATTGGGAGAGGCTATGGTACCCTCTGATCAAATAGTGGTATCGTCCCGTCAAAAAGGCGTGGTTGTGAATTTCTTGTCATTAAATATTACTCACTAAAGGTGATAATTTTGCCTATAAAAATTATACATTTTTTTTTCTAAGTATTGTAATTTTATCTATAATGGTGATAATTTTATCTCTAAATGTAATAACATTACTTTAAAGGGTTGTAAACTCACCTCAAGAAATTGTAAACTCACCTCACATCTAGAGGTAGTATTTTTACCTTTAATGCTTGTAACCTAACTTTAAATAATTATAAATTTCATATCCAAATATAGTAATTTTGCCATAAATAGTTATAACATCACATCAAAAAATTGTAATCCAACATCTAAAGATAGTAATTTTACCTATATAAAATGTAATTTACCTTCAAATGATTATAACCTCACTTTCAAAGATAATAATTTTACTTTCAATTGTTGTAACCTCACTTAAAGATTTTGTACCTCATCTTAAAATGTGATAATTTTATCTCAAAAGTAATAATTTTGTCTTTGTAAAGTGTAATTTCATTTCAATAGTCATAGTCGATCATGATTATCTAGGATCGAACTCAATGCCTTTGATGGATCCAATTTTTATATTTTTTTAGTGATTGCACTCAATTAGGATCGATTATGACTATATAAGATCGATCTTTATGCCTTTTTTTTATCACAATATTAATGCATTTGATGGTCCAAAAATTATAACAAACTAAATTTCGAGTGGTTTCAATTAAATAGGATCGATTATGACGAGCCGAACTTTTTTTTTTTTCCTGAACTGGTCCCGATCCTATATTTAGTTACATTAAGTTGACATGTAATTAATTTTTAATTTCATCCAACTAACACTCAATTCATCAAAAATAATATTAAATTGACCTTCAATTGTATTAAATTAACTTTCAAAATTATTAATTTAAAATTTATAAAATTAATAGGATAGGGACCGAAAAAAAAATCCCATGAAACTGATTGGAGACAAGGGATGCCAACACCATATGGAGTCAACACAAAATCCCATGAAACTGACATAAGGGCGTGACTCTCGTACACATAGACCAATTAGGTGAAATCTTGAGGGACACCGTCATTTAACGATTGAACCTGAACAACATTGTCATTCAAAAGTTGATCCCGGGCTAGGTTATTATTCGATTATTGACCTTGATTGGATGTATATAATCCTCGAGCTCATTAAATGTACGCCGCAAGGCCGTTCTACAATAAGATAGGAGCATTTTCTGATGATACAATCACTAACAAAGCAGCTTTGTTGTCCACGTAAACTAATGGGAGAATTTTTTTTCAAAAAAACTATCAACCTTGTTAGCAAACTCCCATCATGGCTGACCTACGTCAGCATCCTTAAAGGTATAAATAGTCCAAATAGTTGAATTTCTTGTACACATCACTCACTTTTGCCCCCTACCAACACTACGACAACCTGTTCACCATATCTACCACAAACTTATTACTACCATCACTACTACTATTATTGTCACCCTATTGCCACCACCAGTCTCATTGCCCTCACTATCCACATCACTACCATTGTTATCACCATCGTCGCTGCTGCCGTCACCACCTATCTTTACATCCACCACCACCACAATCATCACAATTGTTCCACTATATCCACCATCACCAACCATTCTCCCGTCGCTAATACCATCAACCATCGCTAGGGGGTGGATCTAGTGTTAGTGACGGTGTAATAGGGATGGGTGATAGTGGTGATGGTAGTAGCATAGTAGTTGATAATGGGTAATAACGTCAGTGGTGGTAGAGGAGACAACAAACATCAACAGTGGTGGTGGTGTGTTGGAATAATAGAGGAGGTGTTGGTAAGGTGGTGGTAATAGTAACAATAATGTGTGTAGGGCAGTGGTAGTTGTGAAATGGTAGTGATAGTGGTGATAAAAATAAAGTAGTTGTAGTATGATGACAAAAGTGAAAGACAAAATTAGAATAATAATAATTTTCAAACTTCAGTTTCATATATTTATCAAACAATTCTATTCAATTTAGTATTTAAATTTCGGTGGATATAAAATAGTTTGTGCATTTAAAAAATTCCACATTTACCCCTTAAATTTTAAAATTCAATTTTTTGTGCTAGATTTTTAATTTTATCAAACACTACTTTAGGGTTGTTTGACTATTCCACTTAATGCTTAAAGAATTCAGTATTCAACACTTAAAATGTAGTATTCAGTTTTATCAAATAACTACTATTTTTCAGCATTCAGTTTTTAGTTTTAAGTACTAAATGTTGAATTTTTAATTCGTGAACAATTTTATATGTATTGAAATTTAGGTACTGAAATGAACTAAGTTATTTGATAAGTACACAGAATTGACATCTGAAAATAAATTATTTTTCAACTTCACCCCTCTATTCCTTACTTTAAAATTATTTATAAAATATATATTTATCTAATAAAAAATCACAATATATCATCACATTGTAGTCTAAAATTAAAAAAACATAATAATAAAATTAATTAAAGTTAAATTGATCACTAAAAAATAGTCAATTGTCATAAATTTTATAAATTATAACCAGGATAAATTTTCACTACAATAAATCTTACCCTCATGTGAGACCCCGAATAATGCTACTTAGACCTAATTTGCTAATCTAATTACTCATAATTATTAGATTGACAGTGAGTTTTAATATTTGTTAGGACTTGTAGCCAATCTAATGATTATGATAGATTAAGTCAATAAATTAAGTTTAAATAACATTATTGGAGGGATCTCAAACAATCTTCCAATTTCTATTCCCACTACCCTTTTCTCAACTCTGATCACCACATGTACGTGTGCAGCAATTAGATTAAGTCAGTCCCATGTAACTTAAAAATACAGCCAATTTTTAAGTGAAACTTAAATTTGCCCAATGATTGTAGTATTGTATTATCAAACATACTTAATTAAAAAAATCTCTAAATATGTTAAGTTTTAAGTGCTGAATTGAGTTATCAATTAACTCTCTAAAATAGACACCTAAATGAGATGAAATAAAAGGAAATATAATTTACTCACAATCTGAACTGAGATTACATTTTATTTGTTGAACTATTATCTTTGTTTTATTTTATACATTTAATTATAAAAATTCTCACATCTATATAATAAAGTAGTTTACAATTTAAATCTCAAAAGATAAATTAAATGACTTTTGCTATTCGCGGTTAAGATTGTTTTAAATTTTATTTTCAAGTTAATCTAATGACTAATATTAATACCCTAAATTTAATAGAAAAAATAAACCTTAAAGGTGTGTTTGGAGTCACTTTTTAAAAGTACTTCTAGAAATTATTTCTCATAAATACTTAAAAAAAAAATAGTGTTTGAAACTGCTCCACCACCACCACCACCCTCACCGCCACCGTCGCCACCCCCTGTCACCCCCACCATCGCCACAACCACCACCACCACTACCATTGTAGCCGCTGACATTACCACAACCATCCTCGCCGCCGCCACGGTTATTACTATCCACCACAACCATCACCGTCTCCTACCATCACCACTGTCTCCCACCACCTCTCATCTCCACTATAACCAGATGCTTAAATTTATTCATTAATTCTCTATTTTTGTGATTTGATTTTTGATATAAATACAAATATGTTTATTGTTTACCATTTTTTATTACTTTGTGCTTTCAGGTACAGACAATAATTAGTTTATATAATAAAGTAGCTTACAATTCAAATTTCAAAAGATAAATAAAATGACTTTTGCTATTCGCGGTTGAGATTACTTTAAATTTTACTTTAAAATTAATCTAACAGCTAATATTAACAGCCTAAATTTAATAGGAAAAATAGACCTCTAAGGGTGTGTTTGGAGTGAATTTTTAAAAGTATTTTTAAAAATTATTTTTTATAAATACTTTAAAAAATATAGTATTTAAAACTGCCAAACCATTACCTCTACCACCACCACCGCCGCCGTTGCCACCACCACCACCGTCACCATCACTGCCACCACCACTGCTTCCATCACCACCGCTGTTGCCACCACTATTACTGCCACCATTACCACCACCACAAACCCCATCACCGCCACCACCACCGCTTCCACCATTGCCACCCCAACCACAACTACAGTCGTCACCGTCACCACGGTCATTGTCACCCACCACAACTATCACTGTCTTTTACCGCTACCACTGCCACCTATCACCTCTCACCTCCACTACAAATCGATACTTAAATTTCTTTATCTTTTTTTTATGTTTGTGATTTGATTTTAGATATGAATACAAATATATTTATTATTTACCATTTTTTATTACTCTGTGCTTTCAGGTACATGCAATAACTAGTTGTAGTATAGAGTATTAATTTTATTTCATATTACTCCAATAAAGCTTTCTACCAAGCGTCTAGTACCACTTTATTTTATCTTTTTTGTAACCAAATAATTGTTGGGAAGAAAAAGAAGGTTGGTTAGAGGAAGAAAATTTGGAGTTTAATAAAAACAAAGTTATGGATGTGTATTTTCCTTGATTTTTGACATATAGATGTGCAATAGATAGTTGTTTATTGGCATAATAAACCATTCACATGTGCATTTTTCATCAAAAAATTGACGGTCGTTATCTACCGGAGTAATATGAAACAAAATTGATAGTTTAAGGTGTAATGTGAGAAATTTTATAATTAAAAGTATAAAGTGAAATAAATATCATAATTTAAGGGAGTAAAGTGTAATTTACCCTTCAAAAAACTCTGTAAAATCCATCACCGTCGTCCCCACCAAACACACAAGGTTCGCCTACACAAAGCCAAAAACACATTCTTAATTATTAATTCAGATCAATCACTCCACCACAAAAACCCTAGCTCCCACCCCCCTCCTCCTCTATCACACACACTCACACAAGCACACCCATACATTCTCTAGCGTGTTAATGGCGATTCAGAGGAAAGCTGAGGTGTTTGAGTCAGTGTACTCGGCGATCGCACTGGTTTTCGTGCTGGTGACCTGCTTTGAGCTCTGCGATGCAGTAACGGTCGTCGATGTCTACCGTCTCGTCCAGTACGATCTATCTGGAGTCCCTTTTGGATCTCGGCTCGCGTCCCTCAATCACCATGCCGGGTCGTCGCTCTTTGCATCCGGCACGGATCTCTCCCGTACGGTTGTCATACTTCCGGTTCGTGAATTGGACATGACATTCATTCGAGGTTCATTTCTGTCGATTTTGAATTTTAAGGAGTTTTTGTTGTTCAATTTGGAAAATTTGACGATTACGTCGTTGTGAAATAGTATGCAATCTTATTAGTTTGTGTGTGCGTGTGTATGTGTTTTAGATATGCAGGGATATGATATTGTTTAGGATTAACTTAATATTGGATGTAATTTATGAGAAGTGGTTAAGGGGAAAAATTGGAACCTTATTACGATCTTGCCAAAAGGGTAGGAAGGGATTTTCATATAGTAAGTAGGTTTTTTGGGCCATTTTTGGAAAGTGTAGCATTATTTTTCAGTTTTTTTTTATTGGACCAATTAAAGTAGTTATTGATCACCTGAGATATGGACGGAAAGTGTAATGGAGAGAGTGAGGTTGCGATGATTCATATTTAGGCCACAAAATATGGAGATTAAGATATGGTGAAATTTTTATGTTAGTAGCAAATGTAAAAGTTAAATTTGCATATTTTGAAAATTTAAAAGAACTGAAACGAAGTGTTATATACATAGTGCAGATTCGTTGTAATGCGAAATTTTCTATCAATTTTATCTAAAAAGAAAAGATATGTTTAGTTATATATCCAAACAAGATAGAAAAATTCCAAATAGATTAGATGAAATCTCACTGAATCCCATAATTAAGTGGATAAATGTGTTGGCCAGCTGGTTAAAGTATATTTAAACAAGAAATTAAACTTTTAGGACTTGTTTGGTTATTGTATTATTAAAAAAAAAGATTGTATTAAGTAAATAGGTTAATTCTGCATAAATGAATAAAATATTAAATTAAATATAAGACAAAAATACTACACATTATAATTCAGTGTTTGATAAGATATTGGATTAAGAGCACTAATTACATATTGACCAAAAAATCATCAATGTAATCTATTTATCCATCTTTTTGTTTATTTGGTGGGAAAATAGTAAATTTATAACTTAATACGCTTGAACTAGATTACTACCTCTTGTATTATAATCAACCCAATAGTATGTATAGGGTATATTATTTATACATGCATATGAAATAAGTTTATACATATAATACAGAGTACTTTTGACAACCAAATGTAATCTAAGGCTAGATTATAAAGTTTTAATATGTTATAATTCCATAATTTACCCTTTAATACTAGAACCAAACGACCCCCTTTAAGTTACAAAAAATGTTTAATATACAAGTTGATGATATAAGTCAAAAAATGGCACACAATATGTCAATTTATCAACAAAAGATATATGAGGTGGTATATTTTGATCCTGTCATGTGAAGAATCACTTTATAGGAGAGAGAAAGATAGGGGCTTGTGAAAGGAAGAAAGAATAGGATTGGCATTGCTGCCTTTCAGTCCAACAAAAAAAAGGAACTTCAGAGAGAAATTATTGTTATTGTTGTTTTGTCTTTTATTGTAGTGGGTAAGCATGATATTCTTCAATGGATGCAGGTGATTTATAGCATCAATCCATGGGAATGGGTTTTGCCTAATGCTGCCAACTTTAATGAACGAATAATGGAGTTGATTAACAAACATGTTGATATGGTGGTAACCTTTAGGTAAATTTTTTATGCTGCAAATTTGCTAATAGGAAATTTCATCAGAACCTTCAAGATATGTAACACTATTGCTGTACATGCACTCCAAAATATAGGAAAAACAATGTAAATAAAACCAAGAGTTTTGATATTTACTTTGGGCATTTTTCTAGCATTTACTTTTAGTTGGATTTTCCCCCATATGGTTGAAACTATGGATTGAGTGGAAGTCAACACATAGGTGTGAAAATATTACAAAATGTGGCCACTATGGCTCCATCATTGTACGAGATTGTTCCTATTGCCAGTGTCACGACTATTCTTACAGCAACCCACTATAGCAAATATGACTTTCATCACGTCGTCGCCGTCGCCGTTGCCACCACCATCATCATATGTCATACTTGCACCACTTTAGCCTTCATTCTCTTTTCATTGTTATTCTGTTCTCTACAACTTGTGAAAATTTTATGGAAATATATATCAGGATAAATTAGAAATTAGAATAGCATTGCCCTTGTTTTGATAGATGGCATTTCAATTGGTTAAAATTTGAGGTGATTGTGGCAATTTTAGTATTACTCCTTTATAATTAACTTTTTAAGTTATTAACTAGGTCATATTTAACATGTTTTTGACATTCAATAAGTTAATGTTCAATGAACTATTGATTGCCTTTTATCAGCATAAAAGCCAATTGACATGCTTGCAAATGAATAGAATTGGGGCCAAAATTTTATGTTCTAGTTTTTAATTGTGACTCCGTATTGTTATATCTATCTTTCAAGCCGACTAGTTCTCCTTTTGTCCCTCGTATAGGGCCAAGGAAAGAGAAATAGAGTAGAAGTTGCCAACAATAATTCTGAAAAATGTAGAGCACTTTAATTTTCATGTGGTTTTTCTTTCCAGGGGGAACGGGTATTGTTTTGGTTTAAATGGTTTAGATATGGGTGCATCCATCCTCTTTTGAATCTTGATCGGTTTATAATTGAGTAAATTACACTTGGATCCTTTGAGGTTTGTCACTTTATCACATAGACCCTTTCACGTTTGAAATATTACAGTTAGATCTCTTATGGGTTACGATTAAATAACGAAGCCAACATAAATGATTAAAAGACCAAAATACCCCCAAAATACAAGATATTTTCTCAATTAAGGTATAATTACCAAAATGCCCATTTACCTATATTTTCAGATTTTCTCTCCTCTATCTCTCTCTCGCAACCCACCTCCCCCAAATTCCCTTACTGTGCGGACCAGCTCCTCGCCATAGCCCTCTTCTCTCCCCCATCTCTCTATCTCTCTCGCAAACCCACCTCCCCCAAATTCCCCTCCTGTGTAGACCCTTTTGCCATAACCTTCTTCTCTCTCTTTCTCTCTGTGCCACAAACGCAAACTCACCTCCCCCCAAACTCCCCTCCAGCGCAAACCACCCCCTGCCCATAACCCTATTCTCTCTCTGTGACACATACGCAAACCCAAAGCTCCCTTCCTTTGCAAACCCATCCCCTTCAAAAAAAAAAAAAAAAAACTCCCCTCCCGTGCATACCCCCCTCCCCCAATAAAAAAAAAACTCCCCTCCTGTGCATACCCGCCCCAAATAATCCTCTCCTATACATGCCCCTTGCCATTGGTGGTGGCAGTGGGTTAAGGTTTTTTGGGTTGGTGGAGAGGTATTGATGGTGCCATAACCCTTTTTCGGATTGGTGGTGGTAGTGGATTATGATTTTTTGGGTTGGTTTTGGGGAGGGGGGGTTTTGATGGTGGCAGAGAGAGAGAGGTGATGTGATGGAAGGGATTGTTGAGGGTGTCACTTTGGTGATTGAAGGAAGTTGGCGGTGGAGGCATTGGTCGAGGAGTCAATTGCTTTGATTTATGGGTTTAAATTTTAGGGTTAATTAGAGGATTGGTCAGTTAATCAGTTGACAGTGGGCTCTATATAAAGGGTAGTTTGGTAAATTAAATTTATATGTAAGGACGACATCATGAATTTTGAACGGTTTTGTTAACGGAGACTAACAATTGGACTTATGTATTACACGCGCATATACCTCAAGGGGTTTAACTATAATATATCAAATGTGAGGGGGTCTAAGTGATTAAGTGATAAATTTCAGGGGATTCAAATGTAATTTACCCTTTATAATTTTATATCTTTATGTCTTAATTATCTGACCTGGAATTTTTTTTTGTGGCAGAATATATTGGGCAAAGAAAGCCATTAGGGGGGTTATTACTTTTATTTCCTCGGCTGTTTAGTTGTGAAAACAGTGACAGTTTGGGTGGAGGTGATAATGATTCCAGAAAAGAGCTTTTGAAGAAAACATTAGTGGAGCTGGAACGTTTACTTATATATGCCAACATCCCTGTGAGTGAAGCATATATTTAGTTTTGTTTTCTGCATTCAAGTGATTGTTGTTCCTCCTGTTTAATTATGAAACCTAGCTTTTGTCGTCTCCTCTTCTATGTGTGTGTGTTTTCTTTTTGATTGGTCTCTTGTATTGTTGAAATTTTTGTTCCCTTCTATTTTTTTGGGGGTGGGTAATGTTACCTGGATCGTCGATCGGTTTGGTACGTGGTACACAGTATAGTACTTCTTCCAATACATGGTACGGTGGGGGTAAGCGTAGTTGTTACATTGTTTTGGATCGTGATTTGTTTTGTAACTTCCATATGGAATAATATATCTGTATATACGTAGTCAATAAATATTTATTTTATATTTCTGATAATGTTGTCAAAATATGGGTGGGTCTACAATAATAATCTCATCACCCCTAAATTTCAGGAATTATGCCAGAACAAGTGTTCCAGTGGCTTTACAATGTCCACTAACATAGAATTCACTCTGGCTCGTGATTCTGCAGTTTTTGTTTCCTGTTCACTGCTTTGCGGTTCCTTTCTTTCTCTCCCCACCTTTTATCTTTTTGTGGGAGACTGACTACATGGTAATCCCACTTAGTTTAGTTTAGTTTGTGTGAATTCAGTTCTGCGATTGATACCTGATGCTGATGTGCAGAGCATATTCATAGAGAACTTTTTTGTAGAACTCACTATTGGGTATATGTGATGTTTCGTACTTACTCCCAACTTCCTCTAAAAATGGAAAAAGGAATTTATTCAGTTCACAGTTTCTAAGTTATATTATAATCATTTCGGTGCCAGTAATGAAAGGACTCTAATTTAATGTATGCCTGACTTTGTGTCATGTCCTGATTGTTGATGTTTGACCCGAAACTCAGTTTAAATTGTTGCCCCTCTTTATTATTGGCTTACCTGTTTTTCACATATCATATTTCAGTAATATTACGTTAGTGGTAGTTGATGATGCTATATTTTGTTACAGTATCCTGTGTACTTTGCTTTTGAGGATGACAATATTAGTGCTGTGTTAGCTGAGGTCAAGAGGAACGATGCTACTGGTCAGCCTGCTACTGCAACAACTGGCGGGTAATTTGATAAAAATTAAAATAAGAATTCTGAGAATCATGTAAAATTGTAACCTGTGGATGTCCAATGGTGGAGCATACTATGGTAATCAAGTCTTGATGAATTTGGATTTGTTGTTTTACTTGTCATCCATTTTCAAACAATTTTGATTATTATTATTTGCAAATCTGAAACGTGTGTCGTAGCACCTCCCCCAATTTTTCTATCAAACTAAGTGTACGAGTGCTGGGCAACATAGGTGGGGGTAGAAATTCAAAGAAAGGAAAATGCTAGAATTTGGTTAATATCAAGGGTGAATACTCAGAAGAACTGATTTCCCGTGGTTATTGACTGTTTTTTTGTCCTTCGTGTTTTGACAAAGTACATATGTTATGATAATGAAATAATTACTAATGATTGGGGTATTTTTGCTATTTTTTTCAATGGGCGGTAGTAGTAGGCTAGCCCGACTGATTTTTGTCCAGTGGCTTATTTGTTAAATTTGGGCTCTGTGTGAAAATTTTAGGAATCACAAACAAGAGTAATTGGGCCCCGAGCTAGAACTCAAAGTACATGGAACTTTGGTAACCGTTTCCATTTTTCAAGGGATTTCATTGTCGTCAAGGAAGTCCCATACGGGCTTCGTGTTGTTTTGGTTTATAGACTGGATTATTCTGTTTTAGGCTCAACACTTTTCTTGACAAATGTCTGCATTTTTGTTACCATCCTTCTTGGTAGAATTGCAGTGATGCTATACAAGGTTAAGTAACCTATATGCTGATGGTTTTACCACTTCCCATATTCATGCATGTGAGTCATCCTAGAGGTTCCCCACAATTTATTTGCACTTCTGCCTCCATTGGGGAACGAGGGAAAATTGAAGGAAAATTTTTGATGAAGTCAAGAATTCAAGGTACTCGATTCAGACTAAACAGGAAGTGAATAGGAAAAGAAACACGTTACATACATGCTGGAGATCGATGGCTTTGCATAAGAATGCTACGCTTTGTCTTTATCTTTTTGTCTTTGTCAAGAGAATGAAGGACTCTTTTTGTTTAAGTATCTGTAGTTGTCACAAACCATATAACTGTTATTTGTTTATGATTAGTTTTGAAGCTAACTTTAAATGTTTATCTTTATGTGGCAGCTGGTTTTGCAGATGTTATTGTTATATTATTGTTGTCCTCATAATAAGTTTGTCAGGAGGAGCCATACATGTACATAGGAGTTAGTGTGAGAGGTCGGGTTAATAATAATTTCTCTGCCACCTCTCACATAGTTTCTCCACAATTTTTCACACTTAAAATTTTAAACTTTACATGATATCAAAGCTGGCCCTGGGTGGTTGGTGGCAAATTCTCTCACCTTGTTGAATTTCTTGGTGTGTTTCTCTGTCTTCAGTTCGGTTTGGTAGCCATGTTCTTGTTAGTCATGTGCAAGCCCGAGCCCGAGCGCGGGTTGCATGTGAAGGAGGATGTGAAGGAAGCTGTCCCACATCAAGAGATTAGGCACACCCAAGAATGGTTTGTATACTTGAGGGCCACTCCATCCATTGCAGAGGAATTTAGGGTTGGATGCTCTAACATCCAGTAT